CCAATTGATTTCACATCTACTACCCCAGGATCACCCGCTGCGCTATTCTGTCCCCGAGCGCATTCGACTACCCTTGAACTCGCCTCCTAGTGCACTGCTCTGTCAGTTGGACGGTCCAAACTGGCCGGCTCTCCCGGTGGCGTACCCAGCCTTTCCTCCAGAGTACCCACCCGATCTCGGCGCTTTCAGCGATACTCAGCTCCTTTGCACGGTGTTCTTCAGTGGCCAGAACAAACGCGTCGAGTGGCTTGGGGATGTCCTCGTCGAGGTCGCCATAGCGGGCTCCATTCACCGCCATGTGCCCGATCTCAACAAGCGGATCGCAGACGATGTTTTCGATCTGTTGTGCTCGGGGAATCACCTTGGCCATCTCGCTCTCCTCTATGGTCTCCAATTATATTGTCCCACCCAAGAACAAAAGGCCGCAGCAGCGTCCCAGGCGCAATTAGAATGGGCGATGTATTCGAGGCGTTCGTGGGGGCTGCTGCTCTTGAGTTCGGTGCGACACTTTTTCCCCCAAAAGGTACATCAAGAGTTTTGACGGCGCTCCGGTCGCTGTGCTTCCCATGTGTTGGCCTGGACTGAATGTCGATGCCATGGCCGCGTTTGGTCCTACCAGAGCGGGTTCTTGGCTGCTACAAGAGACCGCGCACGTAGTTTGCTTGATTCCGCACCCTCGCATTGGCCTATCCGCCCCTGCCCCTCGCGTTCCACGCTGCAGATGCGCCGGCTCTTACAGCTGCGAGCACCCACGTATTCTGTCATCTTCAGTTTAGGCCGGATGTCGTATTTGATCAACGATACAACTGGCTCGGTCTGCGTTTGTGCAGAGCCGCCATCAGCGCCGTGGCGACCAGCAGATTACGAACGGCTTCAGCGTTCGAGTTGGATGTGCGATTCATCTCGCCTGGTGTCGCCCTGGACCAAATATGCTTCTAGGACGTGAGGATCGACTCGGAGTACACGGCTTTACTGGGGAAACTAGGGCTGCTGTTGGGGTTGCAGAATCAAACGTGTTGACAATCCAACGTCGACAGTGCACTTGCCGCAGGTCGAGGGCACTTTCCTCGTCCTCCTCGGACCAGTGTATTTGCAATTCGGTTCGTTTTGTGCTTTCCTGATAATGACGAATACAGAATTCATCTAGTTCAGGTTAGAACTGGCTCGACCCGTTATTCTGGTCATCGATAGACGCGGCAGCGGAGGGCAAGTTGCGAGGTAACGACGCGGCCGAAATCCGAAGACAAGGTCGGCGTCGACGCCAAGTGATGTTCTAAGAAGCCAAGCGAGAAGAAAACTTGGACGGATCGATCTTGAAGGAACCGGCGACGCGAGGGCTAGAAAGGACTAAGGCCGATGACACTCGGTGAGTGCCAGTGGCCTCGACACTGCACTGATATGAATCCCACTAGAGCTAGTCTCCGAGAGGTAGAGTACTTGAACTGGAGAGTAGACCAATTCCTTGAACCTTTGTGTCTCAGGATATCCTAGTATCTTGAGCTTGCGAAAGTTTGCGCCTATCGTTCTGCCTCGGGGAGACTAACCACAGCCACTGCTTTTTGTTATGTGAATTCTACGAAGGATCTCGTTTCGTAGCAGCTTAGATACGAAAATTGCTGCGAATTTCGTCGCCTGCATTTATTTTCCCTGCACGTTTTTTTTTGGTTATTGTACGCGCGTCTGCTGGTGTTGTCATCGATTCGTAATTGAGAATGCGTAGTTTGCTTATGCAACCCCGCCTTCCTCCATCCCCCTCGCGCGCCTCTTCCCCTCTTCCTCGCTCCCATCGCTCTCCGCGTCGTTGTTCGCCGTCGTCTTGATGGACCGATTACCTTTGACGGCGCTGTTAATCACTTTAGCGCCGGGGATCCATCTCGTGCGACGCGCGCTCGAGATCCCCGCGTGGACGTCGACCTACGATGCCTTTCTCCTCATCGCCGTCTGGTGGGCAGCAGTTCTCCTCGCAGAGCCCACCCTCCGCTACTTTCTCCCCCTTGGCTGCATAGCCCCCCTCGCATTCTCCGCCTGGTCCGCACGCGCCCGTCCTTCCCCACCGTTAGCGTCCGAGCACACCCTCCAAGCCGCAGTCGCAGATCTGACCGTCATCGAGTCCCTCGTCCCCGCTTTTCCCGCACTCCCGGCGGGTCTGGCCGCTCCAAAATTGCTCTTGCGCTCATCCCTCGTGCTCTATGTGCCTTATTTGCTCCTCACCCATTTCGTGCGCCTACGCGTCCTAGTTGCTATTGGCGGAACTGGGATGCTCGCCTGGCGCGCCCCGTGGGCCATTGCACTGCGCAACTCGCTGTGGCGCAGCGCCTGGTTCCGCTGGGCGGTTTACCGGCTGTACGCAGCCATTACCGGGCAGCCCTTGCCCTTGGCATCCCAGTCGGCCCTCTCCGCCGCCGCCGTGGCTGCCCCGACCCCAACAAAGTCCCTCCGCTTCCTTTTTACCGTCTACGAGAACCAGAGATGGTGGATGGGGCTCGACTGGACCGCCGCCCTGCTCCCCGCCGAGCGGCCCTCCTGGTGCTCAAAGTCCCAGAATGCCGTCGCTCCGCCCAACGCGTTCGTCCTCCCAGACGACACCACCCTGTACATCCCCAGTCCGGACGGAAAGGGCCGCGCCAAGCGTTGCGCAAGATGGACCTGGGAGGAGCACGAATGGCGCGTGATCGTCCGCAAAGAGGGCGCTACGGGACTTAGTCGCGTCGAGAAGCCTCTCCCGAGCGAGAAGGAGGAGAATCCGGGTCTCCTCATGAAGGCCGCCGTCAAGATGCGCGAATCTAGCGGCCAACCGACGCCTCAGCCGCCCGCCGATGAGTCCGAGGACAAGGTGGCTCCTGATTCCGAGGAAGAGGAAGAAGAGCTCGTCACAGATGAAGACGGCTGGGTATACGGAGACAATAAGTGGGAGAAGCCGAGTGCCAAAGGCGGGATGGGCAAGGTTGGCATCTCCTCTGCTCCCCGACTCTCTCCTGACACTCGTCCAGTACACCCGCTTCAGACGATGGACGCGCGTAGCTCTCGTCACAGAAACAATAGAGCCTGTACCAGAAGGCGAGGTCGAGATCACTCCACAGATCCGCTCGGCGAGTCCAGTGTCGACGGTAGAGGAGAAACCACCACGCGATGGCAGCCCCCTCAAACAGCGACTGAAAAGCGCAATGCACAAAGCGACGTTATAGTACTACTATGCTGGATAATTGTAATTCTACTCATTCGAGAACATCGTCGTCGAAAATGGCTGTTAGCGGGACGCCGTCCTCCCTGATGACCCCACGGTACATTCCCGGGCAATTCAAAGGCATCGCAACTGTGGGGGGGGGGGAAAGTCAGTCACCGGTCGGGTAAAGCGGGTGTGGCGTACCATTTCCCGCATTGTCCAGCGCGATGACCCCGCCAATCCCCCCGTGCTGGCGCAGCTCCTCGACCGCGTACTCGGTCGCCTTTTGCAATGATTCTCCGAGATACTTGACGCGATGCGCGATAGTCACGCCCGTCGCGCACCGGATAAAATACTAAAAGCAGTTGAGCGCGGCACAATCGACTAGTAAGGTGGAGACGCACGTCGCCGTCGCCCGTCCCCGAAACGCCCAACGCATGCTGGGCAGGAAGACCCCACATCTTGCTCCAGGCCTTCTGCACCCAGCCCGCCGCGGCCGGCCACTCCTCCGCCCAGAAACCAGAGCCCATGTGCGGTGTGTCGCCCACACGCCCGATGAGCTTGTTCGTACGGCCGCCCGTCGACGTGAGCGCCGCGATGCACCCGCGCACATCGAGCGCGACTGCGCCGACGGTGCCCGTGGGCTGCAGGTCGAGCAGCGGGAGCCCAGCCTTTTCGTCCGAGGCGTCGGGGTCAGGGTACGGGAAGGGCCCGTCGGGAAGGCCGAGGCCGCGGCGGTGCTCGATCCACCGCTTTTGGGTGTAAAAGTACGACTCGTCGACGAGCTCTTCGCCGAGAGACTCTGCGAGGGACTCTGCCGTCGCGCCGGAGATGAACGTGTGCGGGAGGAGGTCCGGCGCAAGATAGAGCGCGCGGGCGAGCGCGCTCGGGTTGCGGACGTGCGTGAGGAGTGTCATCCCGACACCGCGCCGCGAGGGTGAGATTTCAGGGTGCGACGCCGGGGGCTTGGACAGCATCAACGAGGCCTCCAGTTCGTTCTGCGTATGTATGTCGATATGCTGTCTCGTGTATTTAAATGACACCCACCTTTCCGCCTATGTTGAACACGGCGCCCTTGCCTGACGGATGTTAGGCTTTAGCACGCGGCCGCCGCGAAGGCTTACCGGAGTTGAATAGAGGGCAGTCTGTGACGCGTGAGGGGCGCGAGGAACGGTGGGAAAAGCTCCGTACCCTCCATTGAAGACACTGCAGCGGTGACCGCGTCCATGGCCTCACCTGCGGCAATGAGAATAGGAAAAGAAGACTTGATTCGTGGCCTTTACCGCCCTCGCTGAGAATCTTGTAGCCCGCCTCTAGCGCGGCGCATATTCCGGCCTTGTACGCTGCGCGCTGCTCCGGCGTGGAGCCCGTTCTAGACATCGTACCGGCGCCGCCGTGACAGACCAGAACATAGCTGGCGTTGGTGGGGACGCGAACGGCGGGCGTCGACTTGTCGGTCATGGAAGGAGAGGTGCAGCCTTATCGTCCATGCGAGTGCGGGTAATAAAGTTAGTTCGCCGCGGCGAAGGAGGGAATTTCAACTTTGTAGGCGCGGAAACGCGATTCATGTTCGTAGAAAAAGAAACGACACCTGTGCAATTTGAATAGGTCTGAGTGTGTTGAGCAGGATCGTCATATAGTAGGCAAAAACATACCGACACCTGTGCGATTCGAACACACGCGGAGAGTCTGTTGCACGATCGGCATGTACTAAGTAAGCAAAAACATAGCACACTCGTGCGATTCGAACAATCAGTCCGAGCTTGTTGCGCAGGATCTTGATGTAGCAGGCAAAAAGCAGTTCGACAACTGTGCGATTCGAACAGCAAAAACGCATCGACACCTGTGCGATTCGAACACACGCGGAGAAACTCCAACACCTGGATGCAGACTAACCAAACTTTAGTCATATAGCAGGGTGTCGCCTTAACCACTCGGCCAAAGTGTCATGAAGGTGTATCCCCTACAGCCTACTTTATTTTTTCACACCAAGGATATCTGCCAGGGCAAAACCCTGTTCCCGCATTGTGTGTGTGTTCAAGTTCATGCAAGAAGCATGAGATAGGATTGATAGGTGAAGGGAATACGCATCCAGCTCTCCAAGGTGGATCACCCCAAATCTAGGAAGAAGAAACGAAGCCGCGAGATTATTTGATTGAACCAATTTTACTCACCGCATACATAGGCAAACCGAGGGTGAAGCAACAAAACCGAAATGCATGTTTTACAGCAGCAGCGGTGGGATGGGCAAAGGGGGGGGGGGGGTTACGCTGATTGAAAGTGGGTCAGCAACATCAGTACATGATCAATATGAGTTAAGACATACCACGACTGTAACGACCTTAGTGTTCTTGAATTTTGACCGGGTAGATCACGGCAGGTGTATCTAAGCAGGTGATCAGCGGGGTACAGTCGAGGAAGTGATAAGTGGAAGCAGCAGAAAGCAGCACGGCGGGCGCGTGTAGCAGTAGGAAAGTGCTGCGGCGGGTGTATCGTGCGTGGTAGCTCGGGTAACAGTAGCGGCGCGGCAGGCACGTATAGCGGCAGTGGGGTAGCATTCAAGTTTGTGTAGTGTTAGGGGGTAGCGATTGTGTAGCAGTGGAGTGGGCGCATGTGGCGGTAGCCTAGAATGGCAGCAGTGGTTGTGTAGCGACTGTATAGCGGCGCGGCAGGCGCGTGTAGCGGTAGCAATCGTGTAGCAGTAGCAGTGGCAGTAGGGGTAGGGGGTAGCAGTAGTAATTTGTGTAGCGATTGTTTTAGCGGCGCGGCGGGCACATGTAGCGCAGGGGAGGGATTGTGTGGCAGTGCAGCAGTGCAGCAGGCATGGGTGGTGGTAGAGGAGGAGCAGTATAATCGCGGGGGCGCGAGGAGCGGTACGGCAGGCACATCTTGAGACAGTGCAAGAGCACGGCGAGAGCGCGTACGGATCCGGCTTGCCTTTTTGCGCGAAGTGCGTCACCGTGGGGTGATGAGTGGGCTGCACTACTGCTGGGTTAGCAGTGTGGCATGGCTTGCGACGGCAGGGCGACAAGCAGAGCGGCGGGAGAGTAGAAGGCGACATGCGAGCACGGTCGCGCCGCCGCGCCACCGTGACCTCGCGCAGCAGCTCGCTACCCAATGCGTCGTCAAGCCACGACAGGTTGACGCGCACCACCCGCGTAGTGGAGAGCAGTGCCAGCAGCTAGCGCGTAGGTTGGTCGTGTAAAGTGTTTGAGGGAGTTGGGGACTCAAATATTAGGAGACCTTGGGCGACGCATCCAACTCAACGGCTCCCGACGCTTCTATTGCATCCAAACAACGTTCCCAAGTATCCATGGTTTGAAAAGAAAAAGGAGTGGACTCAGCGCTAAGAGTCGCGACGATTTGGTGGGAAGGACCCGCCGTCTCGTGACTGTCCTTTCGGACTAATTGAGTTTATTGCATTCTCGCTACAGCATAGAAAATGTCGAACACAATCTGAATCTATTAATTGAAACCCCACCGCCCAACCAACACCAGACTGCCCATCCAAATCATGGCGGCAAGAGCAATATTAATATTAATGTTGGGGGATAACCGCGAGCAATGTCCGGGTGATGATACTTTTTCGATAGAACTAGGATAGCCGCTGTACCCATGGCGGCCTTTGTGGAAGAGAAAACCGACTATAAAGTAAAAGCCACGAACCGTCGGATGGAAGACCGCGAGTAAGGAAAGTACTTCCATATATATGTTGCAGGAGTCCGTCCTGCCTGACGCTCATCTCCTCGAGTTAATTGCGATGGCGCCCGTCCCAAGACGTACGCGATGCTCGATTTCGTGGTACCGGATGGCACAGAGGCGCGAGCTTGGAGCCTAGTGAGCGGACCGGTGTGACACATACAAAGAATTGTTTGTCTAAGCCAAACAACCGCTCTGGTCCGCTTTAGGCGACTTTCATTCCAGAGCGCGCGGGTCCCTGGACCCATGTGATCGTATTCCTATAGGTAGTGGAATCATGCTGCCAATGAGGTCCAGAGGAAAGAGACAGCAAAAAAAAAGAGTTATCCCAAGTATTCCTAAATTGGGCGGTGTCAGTAAGAATAATTTCCATCAGATCTCGACACGAGGAGTGCAATGAGTATGAAAGGAACAATACTTATGTGTTCCTTTTGGTAACAACCAGGGACGAGTCCACTCACTCACCCAGAGTACCGCCCGCTCATATGAAAAGTTTGGCGAAACATTGGCGGTGATTCTGTGCGTAGAATCCACCACACAGTGCGTTCAAACTTCTGGGGAAAGCATGCGACTTGACAAAGGACTCCAGTAGTAGGCACGACGCGAACCAGAATTACAGTGATGTATATACCTGGAACGTACGGTCAGAGGAGCCCGAGACGACGTAAAAAGCAGACTCACAAATATCTAAATCCACGTTCACCACACTCCGGCAGGTTGAGGGCTGCCCGGAGGTGGACTGGAAATCGGTGGCGGAGCACTCCTCGCGGGGATGGCATCGTCCGGCTTTCTCCACTCGATCTTCTCCACGCGCACCTCGCCCTCGATGAGCTGGTAGACATACGTGACAACCACAGGGCCCTGGATGTCCATTAGCGCAAAGGACGGGGTGGGATCGCTTGGCTACAGGGTTAGCGCGTTCGAGAGAAAGTCGCGTAGAGGATGTACCCGTTGAAAGCACCCGTCCACGCGCCGGTGGCCGAGCCCGGGTTGACGAAGAATTTGTTGTCGTGCTCGCGGGCTTGGAAGCTGCGCAACACGTCAGCCGAGGAAAGGAACATGAGCGAAGGCGCGCTTTACGTGTGGGTGTGGCCGGATATGAGGACGTCGACGTCCATCTGGCGCGCAATCGCACTGAGCGAGTCGAGGTCGCCCACAGGGACGCTCTGGTGTCCGTGAATGACGCCGATCTTGATGGGGGTGTGCACGACGGTTATCGACGACGGAAAGGTCGAACTCTGGTTGGGGTTGCGTTGGAATGAGGGTGGCAGATGGCCTCCCGGGGTTGCGCACCTCGTCATAGTCTCCTTTGACAACATTAACGTCGGGGGAAATGGTGCGCAGATACTCGTAGGTCTCCTTGTCGCATACGTTTCCGGTGCACAGGATCTGCTGTATTTTGCCGGGGACTAGCAGCTTCTTGAACTTGTTGGGGAGATCATGAGTCCGGTGGGGAATGTGCAGGTCTCCAATTATGAGGACGAGAACCATGGTCGTAGCCAAACAGCAGCACCCATCATGAACTCTGCAAAATACTCGACCCTCCCTGACATTGTCCGTGTCGTCTCTGCCTCCACTCATCTTCCCGTGCTAAAATCCTTTCCAGGACACCGCCCAAGATGTCTACGAGACGGACGATCCCTTGCCTTCCACTGTCAGTGCTGCCAAATCAATTTCCAATACAATTCCCGCTATTTACACCTTTTCCCTTTCCAGAAAGCAGACGCAGGTAGCGACGACGACGCTGCTCCTTCGCGCTCGGCGATAAGGGGCGCCCGGACATTCGATGCAGGCGCGTCAAAGGACGAACTCGACTCGACCAATCTTATGCAACATGATGAGGCGAGCAAAAAGTTCAGAAAGGCAGAGAAACGACGAGGTCTGGCCGCCATGTCCATCCCATTCATGCACATTCTGACGCCGACGTCCCAGATCGACCCCGTACACACTATGCGTACCCGCCGTCGCCTACCGATCCCACCTCCCCAATCGAGCCGTCAACCTCGCGCCCTATACCACTCTCACAAAGACTACGCGCGTTGCAGGCAGAGCTGACGTCTCTCGAGACCGAACTCGCTGATCCCGCCAATCCGCTGTTGTTCAAGGAGCGGGAAGAGGATAGTGTGGATCCTGGAGAACTGATACGCGGTCTGGTGGACGTACGCGGCAGACTGGACAAGCTTCGCAAAGGAAAGGAGGGTCGAGGCAGATTGGTCGGCGTCATTCTCAGTCAGGACGATGAGAAAGAGCTAGACGTCAAGCCCCAGAAATCGGCCAGCGCGTCTACACCGGACGACAATGGAAAGCCCAATGTGCGCAGTGTTGTCGAAATGGACCGACGCGTTGGAGAACTCGAAAAGCTCGTCGGATCATCTACCGCTGCCCTCGATGAGGTGTGTTTGCATTTCCCTTCCCATTTGATCAATGATAACACTCCCGAAAGTCGTCGCCCTTGCCGCCGCCCTTGCTGCCTCTCGTCACGCGGCTAAATGCCCAATTGACTCTGTTAACTCAACCCAGACATATTGACTCCATTTCCCGGCGATTGAAGTTGCTGCTCTCAGATCTGGACCGCGCATCCGCGTCGCAACACTCGCACCGCCGCCATCCTTCTCAGTCGAATGGCGCTCCGCCTTCCCAAATACAAGATCAAATTTTACCATTACTTTCACGGCTTGGCCCGTCCCTTCCTCACATTCCCCATATTCTTACTCGCCTGCGTACCTTGTCTGCCCTGCACACGTCGGCAGGCCAGTTCGAAAGCACGTTGGAAGGGTTGGAAGAGGATCAGCGCAAGATGCGGGAGGCGCTGGGTGAGCTCGAAGGCGCGGTCAAGACGATCGAGAAGAGCTTAGAGGAGAACCGGGGCGTAGTGAAAGGGAATGTTGGCGGACTTGAGGGGAGGGTAGACACACTGCTCAAGCGAGTGGATGAGCTCGGCCGGTCAATGTAGACCGAGTGTATTACGCATTTTCAACATTTTCAAGTTATGGAGCACATTTTACGATACTACGAGTCGTGCTCTTTCAGATATTCGCGTGCGTGTTGCTTGGCTTCCTCGGAGACACGAGGATCTGCTGAACATGAATATCGACGCAGTATGGAGCGACACACACATACTGTTCAGTGCTGCCTTGTACCCGGCGAGAACACGTACTTGATGCTCATCCGTCGTATAATTTTCTTCCGCATCATCGCCATATTCAGCTGCTTCCAAAATTTCACGGGAGTGGGCCTTGGCTTTGTCCG